GCTTTACGTTTGCCAAATAACCGAAACTAATCAACTGCCATTTCTCCAAATCCCCACCAAATCCAAAAAAAACTCAAAAACTTTCCATGTCTGCAAAAAAAAAACACACATAATAAAAAAAAAAAAAAAATTATCAAAAACACCAACAACCACCACAACACTCGATCAACAGCAACATCAGCAAAGGCTGCCCACAATTTCGATGCCAAAATCAAAGAGTTACGATGACGACGATGGAGCTGTTACGGCCGGAAACTCCACGTCCGGCAATGCAACAGCAAAGACAGGCAAAGAGCAGCAGCAACAGCAACAAGCCGGAGCTGGCGGCTTGCCGGGGTAAGAATGCAGCAATGCAGCCAATCTCACGTAAAGCAAATCCTAATCCCTTTCATGCCTTGCAGCGGGCAGGGCAACCAGAACTCCGGCTGGTTTGGCGGGCTGTGGAACAAGTTTTCGCTGAAGCCCAAAAATCAAATGATCTTGCCGGACGACAAGAATCCGACAATTGTTTGGGATAAGGAGCGCAAGTGCTGGACAAACACTGAGGGCAATGCCGATGAGGCGGAATCATTCAAGCCGCCACCAAAGATGAGCGACATGGGCGCCACACCAGCACCAGCACCAGCACCAGCTCTCAATACTTTGGGCAATGTGCCAATGCCAATGGCGACGCCAAATCTGCTGCCACAGCAGTCCATGACTGCACCCGAGCTGTCCAACAATGCGAATGTCTATGAGAATCAAACGGAATACGATTACGGAGCTGGCTATCAGGAGACAATGTATGGAGGAGCACCCGCAGCAGCAGCAGCCGAAATCCCTGCAATGCCTGCGCCAGCTGCCTCGCCGGCACATGGTCTAGCCACAGCTCCCGTTCCAGCAGCAGCAGCAGCGGCACCGGCAGCAGCAGGAGCAGGAGCAGCAACGGTGCCTGGTGGCTCGCAGCCAAAGCTCCAATCGAACATGTTCAAAATTAAACGCAATCGCAGTAAGTGTTGCAGCTAGCCAAAGTTGTTGCCAATATTCATGATCTTGCATTGTTTTTATTGCAGCGCTGAAGAACTCCTACGTTGATGTATTCAATCCATCTGGTGCGCCAATCTCTGCAGCGCCACAGAATGTGCTGGCGCCAGCAATGGCGCCGGTTGCCGTGCCACAGGGCGGTTTCTTTGTGCCTGGCGCGATGCCAATGCAACAGCAGCAGCAACAGCAACAACAACAACAGCCGCAGCAGCAGCAGCAGCAATAGCAATAGCAGCAATTGGAGTAGCGAATGAAAATGTTGTTAACAAACAATATAATATAATATTATATAWAATAATTCCCAAGTAATACGTAATCAACACAAGAGCTGAACAACAACAACAACAACAACATCGACAACGACACACAAACACGAGCAACAACAGAAAACACTTTCTTTTATAACTTTCTGCATGCTGGAAAGAACAGACGGATAAAACACGAGACAAATATAACAACTTGGCAGCTTCACCGCGTGTGTTTTCGTTGTTTACATCTTAGTTTTTGTTTTCCGTTTTCTTCCTTCATCTGTCCTTACGAAACAAAAAAAAAAAGAAGAAAAACAAGCTGTAATTGTATGACTGTGTGCGTTTAGCGAAATTGATATCAAATTTATGTATGATTAGCAA